GCGACCATATTTATGAATGTGATATATCTGATTCCGAATAACGCTAGGTATACATTAAGTCTGATTTTGAGATGTCAAAAATACTATGATATTTTAAGATCAAGAGATACCAAAACAACAGTTTAGTTACACGACCTGAAGCTTTTAAGCCTCAAGGATTTACAATCCTGGGAAAAAGCGGGGAGAAGTTGTCCCATCATGCCCTGTGACGTCATGTGACGTCAGTGTGACGCAGGAGCTAACTTGTGAAGTGGACTGTACCAGTAAACAAATTGTCTCATAGAAGATATGACCAAGTCACACAATCATGTCTTTCTTGCTTTGAAACATTGCGAACACTGCATAAATGTAACAAACACCAACAAACTTCTTTAAAAAGAAGAGTATTGGACCATAGAGCACCACCTACATGTAAAGGGGGCAATTATCCAAACAAAGCATTTAACCTTGTCACTGTTGCCTTGTGAAAGAAACAAAACAGGTTTTGTATGTGTGGAGTGTACAATGATGCAATTCCGAGTCAATCAGAAAGGGGGCACTTGTAGAGAGGGACAGGGACAATGAACATCAAAAGGGCAAGACTATTCCAATATATTCATGCTATTGTAAAGAGACCATTCCTTTGTTGATAACCACACTATGGTTAGCTTTGGCAACAGCAGGACATTGTTTGGAAAGGATTAACAACTGAACTGGGGTGTGCCCTCAAAATACCTTGTGTTCTGTCTGTATTTGAGAAGATCTGTGAACCTTAGAGGCGTGACTGGATAAGTAATGCAGCATGTGGTTAAGGGTTGGTCCATTAAAGTACATGTAGTCAAAATCAATCATCTCAATAACAACAACCTGCATCTTATATCTATTGCGTCACATTTTTTCGAGACCCAACAAATCAAATTGGTGTGGCCTAAAGGGGAGAATAAATCATTCAACGATTTAAGTAAATTATAAGCCGTATGACAAGTAAAAGCACCTTGACATGACATAAACATTGACATTTCAGTCCTTGAAAGAAACATAAAGATAAAGATCATCAAGTCCCATGAGGTAGATGAGACAATAAGGCTCTGCTGGACCTCTCCTGTTTAATCCTTTGGATCAACCCTTCAGTGCATGTGGGTACTACAGGGCACACAGTCATGTTAATCCTAATGCTGTGGACATAGCTGAATAAGCTGTGCAGCAGTGCTGAAAAACAGGCCACATACCTATTTCCTGAGGACTGCTTCTCACACATAACATTATAGACAGGAGCGATTCACGGGAAAGACGTTTATTTGTGTTTCTGTTTTGGGATTCCCAATGAAATGATTTCACTGGACAGACACAGGACTTTGAATTCATGCCTTGCTCTTGTTCGGGTCACTAGCCACTAGAGGAATTATTCTTGGGTCCAAGCACTTCTATCCCTAAGTTGGAAGACAGAGAACAACAGAAGTTTAACCTGTGTCAGTGTATGATCAGTGTGACATCTATATTGGTGAGTAGATCTTCATTGTTTTACATCGTTTTGTCCTACTCCTCCAGTCTACATGTAGAAATTTATATTGAAGAGGTTTAAACCCTTTTCTTGGTGATGAGATTTTGAAGACTCTTAAATCAATTCTTTGGTTACTTATCCCTTTGACAAGTGTAATGTTCGTGACAAAAATTCATGTACATGTACAATATACAATATATAGCAAAAGAGTTGTATCTATCTATTTCTTTTCTTCGTGTTTTATAGAGAAATCTATTTCAAGCAGAGCTAGAATGCAGACGATAGAATGCAGACCAGAGGGATGTGTACAATGAGATGTATTCGACGGAGTATACTGGCCTGTCTTGGGCTTGGATTGATTATTTATCTGTGGCTTCTCATTGTTGCCTACGACCCACGTCAGGTAACTAGGAACACGCCCAGGCGGTAAGTCAATAGCTCACCTGTCCATGCACGCCCCCTAGCTTTTTTTAGGGGAAGTACACCTTTTTACAAGCTTTTGACATCCTCATATGTACCAAAATGTCATCAGAAGATAAAATGAATGAATGAAACATTAAAGTCTCAATCTTTACAGAAGACTTACTAGTAATTAGTACCTATGGTGGTTAGGAAATGATACCTTGCTATATATGATTATGAAATTTTGAGTAGAAATATATCATCCAGGAAGTAACCATGTCATATCACAATAGAATTAGATTAGTATAATTATTGTCTCTTTATTGTTATACAATGTTTATGAAAGTAGACCAGATTCTTAGTACAGTAAGATATTTTTAGCATCACCAACTATGTAACGTTATGTATGTTAGCATCACCAACTATGTTATATTGTACATTTTGCCATACGTTGTACCCGCTACATCTGTTGCGCAATTAAGTTATTCTTCTTCTTATCACATGACATTTCAGGTTGAGTGGTGCAGTTATCTCTTCTGAGGACAGTCTCTCTACCAAGGCCGAAGTCAAGTTAGATCATATAGCTTCTAACGGTAAATTTGAGAACAGAACGTCAGCTACGTTGGAGAGGTTACCCGATTCAGATGCACAAAAATCCAATAAGTCAAATATCAATGACAAAAGGGCAAAATCTAGTCATAAAACGTCTTTAAAGAGATCATCAGAAAAAGTTGCTGAAAAAGTTGACTCATGGAGAAAATCAATCATTGCAAAAAAGACAGTAACACAAGAAAAACAACACTATTGACAACACTAGAAAGAAAAAATGACACGATATCCAGAGGTATTAAAAAAGCAAATACAGAGAAGAAACAGAAACATGAAAAGCAAAAACGAAAGTCTTCATCTCAACGAAAGAAGAGAACTGACATGAGGGAAGAGGACAAAAAGAGGAGCAAACAGGGGAAGGAACTGAACAGCCTTTTTGCAGACGTTGATTCCAATTGGAAAATTCAACCCTAAGTCATTAGCTGACTTCCGGTGAGTCCTGAAAAGTCTGTAGTTAAAAGTGTGAAACTGATAATAAGCTTAGCAAGTATTTTTCATACACAACATTTATCATATGAATCATCATTTAATAGAATGATAAAAAATTGATAACAGTAGTGACATCATGGATATTACAAAAATTTTAATCATTATGAGTTAGATAGTTGAATCTGTAACCCTACTGTTATTGGTTATCCAAAGGAAGCAGCTGGCTATCTTGCACACTGCGGCGAACTTCACCTTGACGAAACAGAACGCGCCGCTCAACTCATGGATCACGTACGCCACCTTGCGAGGCACACGTGAAGTGACGACAGAACTACATCGCAAATTACCTGAGGTATGCAAGAAGGCGCCCTCCACGTCGTTAAAACTGCAGATATCTTGAAAACTAGGGTGTCGAGAGAATGACTATACAGATAAACACTGTGCAAGTTGTAGTTTTAATCCAGAATTTAAAACATAAGACTTTTCAGATGTCGAAGTAAAGCCTTGCCCCCCCTCCCCACCAAATCTTGAGTACCGCTATAGTGAACATGTCATGTCTGATCTAGTACAAGCAAGCACAAACATTTGTTACTAAAGGTACAACATGCAAAACGTGCAGTTCATGTGTTTAGTGAACAAATATGAAGACCGTACCTTCCTATTTGTCCTGCCATATCGGTAGAAGCCGCCAGAGTTCCAGACGGGACGGTTCAGGAACTGCAGTGTTGTCGGAAGTAGCGGCATCCTGACCGGAAGTGGGTGTGGAACTCAGATAGACTCCACGGAGTTTGTAATCAGGTAAACATAAATAACGTTAACAAAACAATAAGACTTAAAATGATTTGATAAATGTGGGACAAAAAAGTGTCTGTAAATTTCTTCTTTTGCCTTGGTGCCTTTTCAACCCATACTGATTAGATCTTTTGCGGCCACCTAAACATCTGCTTGGAGATTAATTTGATTATATGGCTGGCATTTTAAAACTGATGCGAGCGTGCGAAAAAAAAGTGGGCAAAAAAGTTACATTCCTTATGAAATCTAAGTAGTCAGGAGGATTGAATAAATGCATTCTACTAGCCTTATATACACCTTTGCATTTCATTTGCCAGCCACCGTATTTGCTAAAAATACTTCTTCAACCTGACATTGTGTTCCTTCGAGTAGGAGTTAATAGACTGTAATGCTATTCTTGGCCATCTATCCCAGGTTTAACCTCCCACCCTTGGAGAAGGGCTATATCCCGGATGTAGGGCGTAAGGTGGATCTGGTGACCTGTAACCGTTACCGGCTGAAGATGCAGTAAGTTCGCATGTTTCACACATCGCGTTCATGAATACCGCAGAGAGATATACTTCTGGTGCTATAGTTTAGCATTGCAGATGAGATGCGGGTGCCAACTGTGTTGGCCTCTTCTGTGTAAGGCCATGTTGATTGGATTATATGGATGACAACCGCGCGCGCATGAATTTTCGGCCGTTTCTAAAAAAAAAATTCAACCATACTGTAAATCGTACAAAAAAAGTTCCAGAATGAGCAAAGATGTACCGTAAGTTGCAAAAAAATTAAAAACCATACCAATGTCGTAGAATGCCAAAATCAAACGAAAAAAGACGAAAATTTAAAGAATGAATTTGAATAGTAGATTATTCGCCAAACCATATTCTGCCTCATTTGTTCAACCGTCATGACCACGTAGATTTCATAATTTTTTTGTGCACAACTTTTTTTATTCGCACGCACGCATCAGTTTTGGGGTTCCCAGAGTAGAGGATGTCATCCATACAATCAAATCAACATGGCCTAACGCCAACTCGAAGTTCCGCCGGGTACTCTGAGAGTAAGACCGCCGCAAGAATAGGGGGAATCTTAAGGTATCTACTACCTCAGCACCGGTAATCCCCGACGTTGCACCATCCAGGTGTTCCAGACTTTCGTGAGAATTCGAAGGCCCTGATGTTTCTAATTCTGAAATGTGGGGATCTTTATTAGAGTATATATAGCCGGCAAAATCATGACACGGGACGTATGTGCATGCATAAGCAACGGACAGGCACAAAAAGTCTACATTAATGTTACATTAATGTATAGGAATTTGCCGCTAAATAAATACATGGTAAAACCTTGAGGGTGGGATCTCATTTGCACCGCGCAGGTCGCCCAGGTTGGTAAAGTATTGACTACAAATGAAGATTTAAACCGTCAGCTGAAGGCGTTTGGCACCATGTGTCACATCAAGGCGAACTGTGATCACTCCCAAAGGATGGTCTTTAAAATGTCACCGTCTGTCATGTTTAACACATGTTGCCAGTGCACTCCTAAGGCAATATTTGTGTAGGAACATCTCCATATTTTGCTAGAGACCTGTACATTTAGACATTGTTATTCCTTACTCAAGGAAACAGTTACTCAGCAACTGGATAGTTTTTCAAAATCTATCCAGTTGCTTGAGTAATTGTTTTCTTGAGTATCTCATTAGTATTGGATGTCTTGAACCTTAATTTGCGTATTGCTTTTCCTTGTTTTTGTGTTGCAGATTCGAATACCTCGTGAGTGAAGCCAACAAGAAAAAGTTCATCGACTTTCTGAGCAGCAACTATCCCAATCCATCATTCCTTAGCGGTTTCGTGGGCAACGGGAGGCCGGTCTCCGGGGAGTCTACGGTAACCCGGAGGAGCCACTCACAAGTCAACACAAATCAAACACTGATGCTCGCCCGCGTTCCAATGAGCTTTTATTTACGAAAGTTTATTGCAAGATCTTGCGGATAAGTGCAAGGGCATAATGGCCTTGATATTGTTTGTAAACGTCATTGCTAGCCATATAAACCCCCATATCTGCTTGGAAGTTGGAGATTACTAGTAAATACATTGTTGAACATATTACATTGTAGTTCCGGACCCAGATATGTTTGCCCCAGCCAGGCATCTAAAATGACAATTACTTGCGTTTGAGGAAGCCTTGTGACGAATTAGCAAGTAATTAAGTTTCTGTAGTCACTGCAGGTGTGCAGGACAGGTGAGAGATCATGTGATATGATCTCCAGGTGAGTATCAGGTAGACAATAGGTACGAAGGAGTGGTATTCATTCGACGCTGAGACACGGCACCGAGCAGGTTGGAAGGCTGTATGAGTGCGCATCGTGTAAGGTATGGATGCATGAGTGGTAATGCAGAAACACAGCATTTTCTACAGATGGCCATAACATACGCCACTGCCAACATCTTTATATGAAAACGTTACGGTTTTCCAACCCAACATCTGCTTGGAGATTGGGGTCACCAAGAAGGTGAACTTCCTTTTCCTGTGCAGGCCCCGCGGCGGTGGAGAAGAGTTTTTAACGCGTTATTTTAATATAGCCGGCGGCTATGTAGGGTGGCCGGCTATATTAAAATAACGCGTTAAAAACTCTTCTCCACCGCCGCGGGGCCTGCACAGGAGGCTAAGATATAATAAAACTTCCTTGGGGAAAGCGCAAAGATTCATGGTCCCGGAAGTCCTTTGACACCCTGATGCCCTGCTGATGCCACACTGTACTGAAACCTGTTGGTCACCGTGATCTTGGTAGTGGCCTTCCCACTAACTTGTGACCAAAAAGACCTCCACCAAGTAATAGTAGATACAAAGGTTTGTTCTTCAGACACTTGTTTTTTTTCAGTTCGTAAAGATCTTTATATGTTGTTGTTGTGCTGAATCACTAGATAATTTGTTAGCCTGTATTCCAGACCCACAGGATCCCAAGAAAAGGGAGGTGTGTTCAAAATACTTCAAGGTTTTTGAGCATCGAAACTTGTATGGTTTGCCAATAGCAATCAAGTTCTATTAGTTGTAAGGGTTTGCGGAAAAGGCTGGCTGGCTAGCCAGCCCGGTCCGGAATACTAGTAGGTGGACTGGGGCCCTAAAAGGTGTGCAAGGGGTTTGGTCTCTAACAAATTTACTTGTCCTTACAGCTGTGGATGAGCTGTTTATGGGTAGTGGGGTGGGTGGTAATGACTGCTATTAGCAACTCAACTAGGAAAATTCAATTTACACAATAAAATGTACTAGCAACTAGGGTTAATTAAAGCTCCTAATGATTGATCATTTTTTATGTGTGCCATGAATAGGTTAAAGTATGGAAGGTCTGGAGGATGAACTGAAGTGTCCCGTGTGTTTGGAGTTGTTCACCTGTCCACTACAACTGCCCTGTCACCACAACCTGTGCCGCAGGTAAGACCGGGGTGTAGCAAGCCAGAATGTACCCTCTGTCAGAATGTCACCCCCACCCCATTTGATAGGGGAGTTGTAATACTTGACTAACTGTGGATCAATTAGTTCAGGAAATGTTTGAACAATATCCTGCTTACATTTCACCAAGAAGCACTGTAGTTTATTTCTCCACCTTATTGTTTATGACCAAAAACTAATGGGAGGACAATACCATTTGGAAAAAGGGGGGTCCTTCATAAACAGTCACCAAGTAGGATGTGCCATCCTTTTACCATCACATGCAGGCACCAGTGACACTCATACAAATATCGCTGTTTTTGTTTACCTCAATTATTGGTAAGGCTAAGCATATGCAAATTATTGGTAGGCAAATGCAAATCATTGGTAGGAAAATCACCCAACCACCACCAGCTTTTTGTGTGCCACTAGCTATAGCTGCATGGATGTAATGTCATGGCGATCACTCATATTACATTTGTATTAGGTAGCAAACACATTCAATTGGGTCTTTTTCTGCAGGTGTGCAGAAGATCTACTTCAGTCTGAGACAAACCCGAGCCAAGACGACGAGGAAGGGGCCACCTACTCAGCTGCAGCTGCACCCAGTCCTGAAAACACACCTGACAGTTTCCCCTGTCCAACATGCCCGGAGGTAGTCAGCTTGGGCACCCTGGGTCTCGACGGACTGAGGAAGAATTTTCTCCTTCAAAATATAGTGGACAGGTGTAACGACTCACTAGAAGTACTTTCTCAAAGCTTTCAGTTGACTAGTGTCTAGTGGTAGAGGTTTGTGATAATGAAGAATTATATTGTGTTGATTTATACTTACTTAAAGTTATAATTACCATTGGTAGGTACTGAACTTTGGAAGCAGACTAGAGCACAGAAGAATCAGTCTGTTCATTTTTTTAAAAATCATTGCAACTTAATACATATAAATTTGTTTGCTAACACATCTATTTAGCCTGGGTACCATCTGGAAGCCAAAATCCGGATGGTACCCAAGCTAATATCTATTAACACCCCCAGGTATTTGCGGCTGAAGGGTGATGGCAACACCAGGCCACATGAGATCCCATGCCAACTCTGCAGGGAAGCCCCTCCCAGACTGGCTGCCAAAAGCTGCCTGATTTGTAAGGTGTCTTACTGTGAGCAGTGCCTGACTGTTACACACCCCGACTTCCCCCCATTTTCTGAACACAAATTGGTCAGTCCAACAGCATCTTTTAATGATGAGGTGAGTATAGCATGGCCTTCACTTGATGATGGTAAGTTTATTGCAAATTCTTGCCAGAAGGCATATAAAACAGGGTAAAAGACCAGCTTGCTTGAATTGTTTTTAAAAGGACTAAAGGTTTTTTTTGCAGAAGCTCTGTCTCATAATGGGTTTTTTTGACAAAGCAAAGTAAAAGTTAAGACAAGAATGCAGACTTAACAAAACTTTCTGTATCAGATACACATGCAGAAAGTTTTATCAAGTCTGCACGTCTTGTTTGTAAGTCCGTATTCTTGCTTGACAGTTGAAGAGTTTGGAAATTGACACAGCAATTAATAGCATAATATTCAGACCATAAAAGTTTATTTATGTATATTGCTTCTCCTTTTGGGACCCTCAGACCGTGATGTGCCCCGACCACCCCAGCAAACCAGTGGAGATGTACTGTGTGCAGGACCAGACTCCCGTCTGTTTGCTGTGTGAGAAGGTAGAATCTGACCTGTTAATGTTTTGTTAATACTCGTATACCCTGTTCGTGAAATTTTTTCAGATATGTTTGATATAGAGATACATGTATGCCATTGTTTTATTGTGTAAACTGCTCCCATGCAATGCAGCCTCTGGCTGCCAGGTGGGATTGGCTGTATGTATTTTAAAAATTGAATAACCCATTATTATAAGGTGGGCAGACACAAGCAGCACAACATGGCGGCCCTGGAGGAGGTGTTCTCCCAGAAACAGGCTGAGCTGCAGACCTGGGTGGGCCGCTTGGACGCTAGGGTCACCCTGGAGGAGGCTAAGGTTCGGGCATTAGAAGATAGACATGAGCAGATGATGAACGGGTAAGATTGCATAGTGCTAGACATATTTCCTACTTCAAATGGTCTCTCTCTCTCTCTCTCTCTCTCTCTCTCTCTCTCTCTCTCTCTATGTCAATACCCCTGCGGGTTAGAGTCTCAATGCCAAAAATACCAAACCAATCTAGCACCAATGTACATGTACCAGTCCAGCATAACACACACAGCTTTTCTTATCTTTTACAGTGCACAAGAATTGAAGACTGAAATTGACAAACAATGTGAAAGCCTCATGGAAGTCATTCAACATCGTAAGGCTGAATTGCACCGAAAGCTAGAGCAGACAAGACAACAGGACAGCAAGGACCTACAGAAAGTGATCAAACGTGCAACTGATGGTGTACAGAAGGCACAATCAGCACTGTCTTATTCTTTGGAAGTCCTGAAGGAAACCGACCATGCTAGCTTACTGCTCGCTCACCACTCATTGAAAGCTAAGATAGAAGGAACAATCAACACTTTGGGCAGTAACAGTGATGACAACTATGATGATGATGAATATGGCATTGATGAGTTAGACATTGACTTCACACAGTGTAAGAAAGAGTTAAAAGCGTTAGACTTTGGAGTACTCCCTGATACACCATTTGCAGATGAGCAATGTTGTATTGGCTCGATGGAGGAAGCTTATATTGAATGGGATCCTGTTTGGGATGCCAATGAATATGAGGTTTGTTACTCAGTTGGTAACGTCCAAATAGTTTCAACCCTAAAGGGTTATTCATACACAGCCACAAACCTGACTCCGGGAACAAAGTACAAGTTTGAACTCGCTTCCAAAAACAAGGCTGGTCGGTCTTGTCCGAGCTCAATCGAGCTGGCAACAACACCGTTTGAATTCCAACTGGATCAGAACATAGCTTCCAGGTATCTTTTAGTTTCAGAAGAAAACACCCAGGTTAGCAAGCTAGAAACACCAATACCTCTCCCTAGAGCATCATTGACATTGTCACGCTTTGATCCAGAAGAGGGTGATCAACACACAGTTCTTGGAGACAAATCTATCAGGAGAGGCCGACATTACTGGGAAGTCAGTGTAAAGGGGCAGTATAGCATAGGTGTGGCCTATGAAAGCATGCCCAGGAATGAGGATATTTGTAATACGATGGAATCATGGGCATTTGATTATCTGGCAAACGGATCCTTGTACAGTGTCTGGTTTAATGGCTCGACATATACACAGAGAAAACGCATCAAACCACCGCTGTCCAAGATCGGTATCCTTGTTAATTATGACAAAAGCGAACTTCGCTTTTTCGATGCAAATACGCAAACCCTCATTTTCCGCTACAAAGAAAAGGCTGGGTTTACCAAGCCACTCTACCCAGCTTTCTCTCTGTGGGAGGGTTCCCTTAAGATTCACAGTGGCATTGAGTGTCCACAGTAAGGTGTTATACTTCTACAGTTGCCATAATTACAATACCTATGTTAAGATAGTGGCCCTGCCTTGTTGAGGGCTCATTGTAGGCGATGTTAGCATTCCTAGTTGTTCTGTGATCTTTTGTTCCAGTCGCGATATTGTGCATGTACCAGTACAACAGTTATGAATTTTGAAAGCAGTATCAGTTTGTCTGATTTAATGTTGTTCGTCCTAAATTGACATCTTCAAATTATTTTGTACTTGATAAGTTTTGTTTAATTTGTCAATGAGCAATGTAAAATTAATGTTCATATTTGTACAATAATCTCACAAATTACGCTACCTACATGTGATTGAATGCATTGGCCTCCTTGTGAATTAACCACGTCATGCAAAAATTCAAAGAAAAATAACATGACAAAATGATGGCCTTTTTTCTTTGTGTAATCATAATGTACAAGGTGTTACATGATCTTTGCTGGAATTAAGGACTCTTCAACATTTCTTCTTTTTCTTGTATCACATTGTAGGTTACACTTGTCAAAAGCTTAAAGCTTCAACCTTAAAAACCGAAGCATACAGAAACATAACTTTTGCAGTTATATCAATGGTGTGATGCTTAATTAGACAGCCTTGGTACCATCATTGTCTGACATAATTTTGGAAAACCACTAGTTCTATAGCTTGCAGATTTCTTGCCAAACCTTGTATGTATGAAAGAGACTATACAATGAAAATTCCTACATCTTGTTAGGGTACTGAATGTTAGTTCTCCTCCAACTGGCAACAATACATAATACAAATGTATATACTTTGATTATCATATCCATATCACTGGATAATTTATCCATGGGGTGATTCCTAAATTCTTTTAACAGCTACTTCAATGATGAGCCATGAACGAATCAAGAAAAAGCCAAACATAATACCAACTTGAGCATTCTTTCCACCATTCCATAACTGATAGTATAACTTGTTAAGAAGTGGTTAAGACAGAAATAGCATACAGTACATGACTGTAAAATAGAAGAATGCAAATGAATCTACAGAATTTTTCATCCTTATACATTCATAATCATAACTCAGTCATGTTTTGGTCATTTGTAACTTGCTTATTACATACTATATCACCAAAATTACTTTTATCAGATAACCAGTAAATTGAACTGTACTTTATATAATATTATCTATATTTTCTATAACTATACAGGACGATCGCTAAGCACTTAATCTGTTTTACAATGTACATGTACATACATTCCAGTACAAGGAATGGCACCATCTCTAATAACTTGCAACCAGCTTATAACTTTACCAACCAATGCACAACTGTGGCAGAAATCTTTACCACCCAATATGTGAAGATACCATCTTTTCCATAATATGTGAACTTACCATATTTTCCCTAATAAATGCATACCTCTGTCAAAACATGTAGCTTGTTGGGTACTTTTGAATGATCACCATTTTTAGCCCACCCAATCATAATATTTGTCACGCCATACTTACACAGGCCAAGTTCAAAATGAGCAGAGCACATATCAGAGAAAATACTAGTAAACATAATCATGATGTTTCCTACACTTAAGTGCTACAACATTGCTTACCAACTTAGTAACACATGTATAAGATGTTGTTTTGCGAGTTGTTTGAAGTTTTGAGATGCTCCCTATACAGTACGGATGTTGTTTAGGTTAGTGTTGTTGACAAGATGCTCCCTAGTGCCTCTGTTCGTGCCAGTTGTTGTCCATCATGGCGAGCAGTTCCGGCACCACTCGGTTCAGGTCATTGCCGTGTTTGTCCAGAAGTCGCTGGTTCAACTCCCGGTTGCCGAAGCCCATCTCAAAAAGCTGGTCCATGGGGGAGACACTGGTGGGAGGGGGTGGCCAGGAGGGGGCAGGGGGGGTGTAGTCCCGCTCAGGGGGGACATGCTGCTGAGGGGGGATGTATGGCTGGAAAAAAACACAATCACACAATTATGACTGGATATGCCAATGTATTCTTCAATGGTTTTAATGGACTGCACTACAGGTAGTTCAAGGAAATCATTGCAAATTGCTGTATCAGTATCTATTCACTCTAATCCTTGCCAAGAAGGTTATATTTTCGGTAGCGTTTCGGGTGTCAGTGTGTGTGTGTGTGTGTCTGTCTGTCTGTTAACACAATAACTTGAGATGGCTTAAAGATGGATTGTCTAGATACTTGGTAGGTGGGTAGGTCTTGATAAGACATCAAAATTATTAGATTTTCGGCCCCCTGGCGGCTCTTTGGCAGAGACCACAAGAGGTTTTGAGGAAGAAAAAGTCGACAGTATGAAACCTCCCCTACCTGATTCTGCCGTCCATTGCTGCCAAACAAGGCTGTAACAATGTTAGAGGCCACGTTGATGGCCCCATTCACAACTGCACCTCCAAACTCAGCTGCAGACAATCTGTAGAATAGCATAGCAGATACAATTTTTATTTTGTACTGTAAGCAAGTCTGGAGCTTAAAATATACCACTTGCATTTGTAGGTATAATTGGAGCTGTGTGTATTAGCTTCTGTCGTAACCTGCAACCACCTTCTCAATTCCCAAACTGTCAAAGCAATGAGAGAACCATGAAGACCATTATGGTAAAAAGCAATACAACACAAACACAATATGAAAACATTTGCAAGCCTCAAACTACTCTTAGAATACAAACTTTACTTGCAAACTAATTCCCAAAGAAAGGCTAACTGCAAGGGAACACACAGATACAACAACAAAAGGATGTCTATAGATTTGAGGTTTTTACGTTAATTTCTACATAAAGGCTCCAAATTTTGCTTGTCACTAGAAGAGTTGGAGACCTACCCGCGCGGTGTGGGAAAGACGTCCACGATTGGTCCATCTGCGTGGAAGGTGGCGTGTGCACCGGCGCGGTCCGAGGCACGTCTGGCGTTAGTGTTGTTGTTCAGCTCATTGTCAGCATTGGTGGAGTTCTGGTCTGTGGCATCAGTAGCTGTAGAAAAAGATGGTAAAAAGATTATTACAATAGCAAACAGCAAAGCTCCTGGTTTGACAGGTAAAATGAAGACTCAGGGCTTAAAAGGCTTTTCTCTGCATTCCTGTAATGGTGCAGATAACATGAAAAGTTTTAGACAGGAGGGCATCAGAAATACCTGCACAGCCCCAATTTTACCTGCACTAAAGGTGCATATGGATCCAATATTCGAAGCCCTGAGGCTGAGTACCAGTAACTAATTTTTGGTCCGGTGAAAGGTTTTTGTGTACCTTATCTGTGAGCAAAGGGATATTTGCAAATCAATGCATGACCCTTCTTTGCTAACATAAAACAAAGAATAATTTTTTCTTGTAGATGACCAACAAGGAGTTCTCAACTAAAATTGAAGGTACAAGAACCATCAAATTTCTGGTGAAGGTTTTCCCTTACCAACATCCTCAGGTGGGTGTTTCACTACTGTATCTTCCAGGGTGCTCTCTGGTGTTTCATTTGAGTGATTGTCACTTGCTGCTGCTCCAATTGGGAGGTCGTCCTCATCATCAGCTATCTCATTCAGTCAGTCATTGGGTCTTTCTTCAGCTACCAATCTGCTGTCTTCTTCCAGAGCTGGCATTTCATTGGGTGTCATTTCAGCTGGTGTGTTTTCATTGGCTGCTGGCTCAACCAATGAAACAACTCCTGATGGCTCTGGAATTTCCGTCAGGAAAGCAGCATCGTCATTGGACAAGGGCTCTGACTTCACCTGGATGACTTCATCATCGTCATCACCTGTCAGGTCTATAACCTGGATCTGATTGGCTGTTGGGAGTTGATTGACAGGTGCTGGTAAAGGTCGAAGGATGGGCTGGAATTCGTTCTTGTCCTGGATTCTGATGGTTCCATTTTCTGAAATAAGTCAGTCATATCATGGTTACTTTTGTGCCATTTGAATTTAATTATACAAAGAGCTTCAGTACCAAAACAAAATGCTGGGGCCCAAAACTCCAACTTTTAGTGCCGCACATACATGTACAATGCACACACAGCAACAATCTTTGACTAACCCAATCAAACAACACTACAGACAAGTTACTTACAGCACACATGTTAATATATCAACCATCAGGGCTGGAAATACTGGGTGCATGTCCACCTTAGTGCACCCAAATTTGGAGCTGTGCACCCAATTTTTTTCTGTGGGTGCACCAGTACACCCCAAAAAAGAATTTCGAGCCCTGACAATTATACATGCGTATAGAGAATTAATAACTACCTTGTACTATCTCCGGTGTGGAGCATCTGGAGTCCACATTGTCAGCAGTTTCCAGAGGCCCGTCAGTTTGAATGGCTACATCAGTGTTAGAGGACAGACTACAGGAACTGTCCAGCGGGATCTCAGGGTTGAAGCAGTCTGGCATGGGAACCACAATGTAGTCCTCTGAGTCCACTGTGCTGTCTGACGATTGGCTGCTGGTCTCCTCATCTATTGGTTCTACAGGAAAAAAAAGAATACAAGAAAATCAACCCTGTTTTTTTTATACCGATCATGACTGTAATAATTGCTAATATATTCTGAGTATAAAGCAGCTACAGTATTTTGCATCCATTTCCAACAAATAACTCATAAAGTATAGCCAAAAAAAAGTTCCTAACTCCCTTTCTTACTAGCTAAACTATACATGTAGCTAGTAGTAGTATAGCTCCAAAACATTGGTAGACAAAAAAAAAAGCTATAGCAAAATTTTTAACTCACATTGCTTTACAAAGGCAGAAACTACTACAATTAAATAATATAAAGTGCCCCAAGTTGACTGAATGTCAAATGATTTGAAACCACTTTGGGAAACAACATTAAGTCTTGTTGGAACAGCACTGACCTTTCTTGACCTCCACGACGGCCATTCTATTCTCCACCAGCACCCCCTCCTCCATCTGTGCCACCTCAGCGGCAGCAGCGCTCGCGCTCTCCTTTCCGTCCACAACCACCTCGTTGATCACTTCCACCACGCTGGTCTGTGATTGGCCAGAACTGTTTTGCTTGAAGAGCAGGTCCTCTTCAATACAAGGCAGTGGGGAAATTCTGGGTGTCATGTCTGTGTGGGAGAAAATAGGGGTTCAAACATTTTCAGCATAAGTGAGGATGACATCTTTATTATCTTTTTCTATTCTTCTTATAGCTTTTTGTTGCAGTACAGTCAAACCTGCCCATGCGACCACCTTCTCAAGACGACCTACTGGCCAAATAGACCGGTTTTCCCCGGTCCCGAAAATATTTTCCCATAGGCACAAGCATTAAGCGCTCTGCCCAAGTAGACCACCTGCCTGACGCGACCGCGGCCAGCTCGAGTCGGGACCACGCGGGACCAAAACCTTCCCATGACGACCGCATCATTTTTAAAAGTGTGTCTACATCGATTTTTAATGAAAACTCGCGGGGATTTATTGAGAGATCGACCTGTTTACGTTGTACAAAAAATTGTGTTTTGCCGGCCGAGCGATTCAAGATGGCGCCGGGGGGTCACGATGTTGGGTCATTGGAACAGACTACTGTAATATGGGTGAAAACTTTACGTGCGGTTTGATTCTACTGTACAATCTACCGTACAAAATGTAAATTTATTTGTCGCAGACGATGCTTGAATAAAAGAAAAGTACATTTACTAATGGTGACTTGAGGGCTTAAAATTTTTGGAGTTAAAAGGTGTTTTCATTCTTTACTCAACTAGCTGCTCACCCATGATGCTGGTGAAATATCCCAAGCTTAGAATCTTGTAAACAACTCGCAGAAGCTTTGAGAAAGATCGGTTTAATTGTACCAAAGAAGCGTCTCGGAAAAGTACAAACGTGGGGACGTCATAATTAACTTGAAGAAAAAGGTCCGGTCGACAACTGTGGTACCGATTGAACGATTCATACAGACCGTGGGGATCTTAACAAATTATTTCAAGCCGCTGCATGCTGCACGCCATGCCGGTGCACGCCGCTGCATGTCCGGCGCCGCAGACGAGTTTACAGCGAAGCCCGGCGTCTTCGCCCTAGGATGGGAGCGTAATGGAATCCAGGGCGGCATCGAGAAAGTTCTACAGACACTGTAGCCTTTAACAGTAACGTTTAATTGTATTTTTTACCGTAAAAATTGACTCGCAAAAAATGTGACGCCATTTTCTTTCACTACGCTTTGTTCTCACATTTTCGATTCGTTTTAGTCGTAGCACGTGCTAGCACGCTACTGGGGCTTTTACATTTTGTAGTACAAATGACGTTAAACTTCTGATTGTATTTCTACCTCAGAATTAAGCAGATTTATGCCGCATTTCTCGCAGTTTGTAACTCGTTTGTGAAGTTGGCCGCCGGGCCGCCATTTTGATTGTTGTTGTCTGCACGCTTGGGTAACGCTGAATTTTGTAACTCGTCTCATGTTTTCGAAATTGTCCCGTAGTAGCACAAAATGAACGCCTTATCGATTCTGTAACTTTATAAAGAAACCTCTAAATCGTAATGTAGGGTAAATTTTATAAACACCCCAGTGTAGATACTAGTAAGCTGTGAAATTTCGAAGCGTAAATGCGACGCCATTATTGTGACTGCTTTTTACTGTGGTACATGATTGTATGTTATGATTCAAAGCACTGCAGTGGTAAAAATCAAATACTTTCTATGCAATAAATATTTTATTTCTGAGTCAAAGATTTAAGTTGTCAGATTATAAACAAACTCTTCCATGTGACAACAAACTTAAGTAAAGAATTATCTGCCCTTGCCCTTTAAGTAATGGGGCAAACAAAAATATGGTAGAAAACTAGAGCAAGAGGCAAGGTCAGTATATGTTAAATATAAAGGAAAAAACTGTCACACAGTTAACAGCAAACATGTTTTCCCCCCATGTTTTTTTCCCCCACAGTATTACGACCTATCGTGCAACAGACCCACCCATAATTATCTTTCCTGTGATGTTCACTCATGATGCAATTTCTGTGTCTTGTAAAAGTTTTCGTACTTGAATATTTCTCAGAATACTCCAGAGAAGTTCTTACCTGGTCTCAGTCGTGTGTCTAGGGTGGCTTCTCCGACATTTCTGGTCGATCTCCGGGAAAATGTGAGAAAAACGGTGGACAGCGCCCCAAAATGTTGCCGGGCGATTCTTGACTTTTCAAGATCTGGGCTCACTGGCCAGAACCGGTTCTTCAACTGGATTGCCTCCAGGAGACTCAGTCCATGAACTTTGACTCCTCCCCATCATGCCCTCTCGGCCAATCCTTTGTTCTGCCTCGCTGAATGACGTAAAAGAGGCGGAGCCTTAGGCTGAACACCTGCTGGAACAACGTCATTCCCTCGCTCCACCTACAGAACATGTAAAAAAACACAAGTTACCTAAATTCCAAACATGTACATGGACATTCCACTTAAATCACTTATGAACACACAGATGCAGCGAGTACGTTTAGCACTGCAAAATGAAAACACAAGATCCTTCTTTTTTTTCAAGTTTTCTTTCAAGTTTGGAGTGACCATATTTATGAATGTGATATATCTGATTCCGAATAATGCTAGGTATACATTAAGTCTGATTTTGAGATGTCAAAAATACTATGATATTTTAAAATCAAGAGATACCAAAACAACAGTTTAGTTACACGACCCGAAGCTTTTAAGCCTCAAGGATTTACAATCCTGGGAAAAAGCAGGGAGAAGTTGTCCCATCATGCCCTGTGACGTCATGTGACGTCAGTGTGACGCAGGAGCTAACTTGTGAAGTGGACTGTACGAGTAAACAAATCGTCTCTAATAAGATACGACCATAAGTCACACAATCATGTCTTTCTTGCTTTGAAACATTGCGAACATACAAGTTGCATAAATGTAACAAACACCAACAAACTTCTATAAAAAGAAGACTATTAGACCATAGAGCACCACGAGTACATGTAAAGGGGGCAATTATCCAAACAAAGCATTTAACCTTGTCACTGTTGCCTTGTGAAAGAAACAAAACAGGTTTTGTAGGTGTGGAAGAGAGTGTACAATGATGCAATTCCGAGTCAATCAGAAAGGGGGCACTTGTAGAGAGGGACAGGGACAATGAACATCAAAAGGGCAAGACTATTCCAATATATTCGTGCTATTGTAAAGAGACCATTCCTTTGTTGATAACCACACTATGGTTAGCTTTGGCAACAGCAGGACATTGTTTGGAAAGGATTAACAACTGAACTGGGGTGTGCCCTCAAAATACCTTGTGTTCTGTCTGTATTTGAGAAAGATCTGTGAACCTTGGATGCGTGACTGGATAAATACATGTAATGCAGCATGTGGTAAGGGTTGGTCCATTAAAGTACATGTAGTCAAAATCAATCATCTCAATTACAACAACCTGCATCTTACATCTTCCCTGTAAAAGGTGTTCAGTAAATTCATATTACCAAATGATTATTTTCCCAACATCACTAGAATAAGGCCACACCAATTTAATTTGTTGGTTCTCGGATTCGCCTGCATTTCAGGCTCTGAATCAACTCCAAAATGTTCATATTTTGGCCCCAACAGTTGAAGGAAGTCCGATCTCTTTAGAATTGTTACAGTTTTCCATCTATCAATGCAGTGGTTTGATAAAAAGTCTGATATTCATGGTTTAAATTACAAACCAGCCTGGTATGTTGACTTCATGGCTCCTAACATAGCATTTGGGGCTATCATAGGATGCCTAGGCCTTTATTTTTTTCGCCGTTGCTTCACATTTTTTCTGAAAAAATCCGAGAACCAACAAATAAAATTGGTGTGGCCTAAAGGGGAGAATAAATCATTCAACGATTCAAGTAAATTATAAGCTGGATGGAAAGTAAAAGCACCTTGACATGACATTAACATTGACATTTCAGTCCTTGAAAGAAACATAAAGATAAAGATCATCAAGTCCCATGAGGTTGATAAGACAATAAGGCTCTGCTGGACCTCTCCTGTTTAATCCTTTGGATCAACCCTTCAGTGCATGCGGGTACTACAGGGCACACAGTCATGTTAGTCCTAATGCCTTGGACATAGCTGAATAAGCTGTGCAGCAGTGCTGAAAAACAGGCCACATACCTATTTCCTGAGGACTGCTTCTCACACATAACATTATAGACAGGAGCAATTCACGGGAAAGACGTTTATTTGTGTGTCTGTTTTGGGATTCCCAATGAAATGATTTCACTGGACAGACACAGGACGTCGACTTTGAATTCATGCCTTGCTCTTGTTCGGGTCACTAGCTACTAGAGGAATTATTCTTGGGTCCAAGCACTTCTATCCCTAAGTTGGAAGACAGAGAAAACAGAAGTTTAACCTGTGTCAGTGTATGATCAGTGTATGATGTCCAGTGTGACATCCATATTGGTGAGTAGATCTTCCTTGTTTTACATTGTTTTGTCCTACTCTTGCAGTCTACATGTAGCAATAAATAGTGAGGAGGTTTAATCCCTTTTCTTCGTGATGAGATTTTGAAGACTCTTAAATCAATTCTTTGGTTATTCATCCCTTTGACAAGTGTAATGTTCGTGACAAAAATGCATGTACATGTACAATATACAATATATAGCAAAAGAGTTGTATCTATCTATTTCTTTTCTTCGTGTTTTATAGAGAAATCTATTTCAAGCAGAGCTAGAATGCAGACGATAGAATGCAGACGAGAGGGATGTGTACAATGAGATGTATTCGACGGAGTATACTGGCCTGTCTTGGGCTTGGATTGATTATTTATCTGTGGCTTCTCATTGTTGCCACCGACCCACGTCAGGTAACTAGGAACACGCCCATGCGGTAAGTCAATAGCTCACCTGTCCATGCACGCCCCCTAGCTATTCTTAGGGGAAGTACACCTTTTTACAAGCTTTTGACATCCTCATATGTACCAAAATGTCATCAGAAGATAAAATGAATGAATGAAACATTAAGTCTCAATCTTTACAGAAAACTTACTAGTAATTAGTACCTATGGTGGTTAGGAAATGATACCTTGCTATATATGATTATGAAATTTTGAGTAGAAATATATCATCCAGGAAGTAACCATGTCATATCACAATAGAATTAGATTAGTATAATTATTGTCTCTTTATTGTTATACAATGTTTATGAAAGTAGACCAGATTCTTAGTACAGTAAGATATTTTTAGCATCACCAACTATGTAACGTTATGTATGTTAGCATCACCAACTATGTTATATTGTACATTTTGCCATACGTTGTACCCGCTACATCTGTTGTGCAATTAAGTTATTCTTCTTCTTATCATATGACATTTTAGGTTGAGTGGTGCAGTTATCTCTTCTGAGGACAGTCTCTCTACCAAGGCCGAAGTCAAGTTAGATCATATAGCTTCTAACGGTAAATTTGAGAACAGAACGTCAGCTACGTTGGAGAGGTTACCAGATTCAGATGCACGAAAATCCAATAAGTCAAATATCAACGACAAAAGGGCAAAATCTAGTCATAAAACTTCTTTAAAAAGATCATCAGAAAAAGTTGCTGAAAAGTTTGACTCATGGAGAAAATCAATCATTGCAAAAAAGACAGTAACACTGAAAAACAACACTATTGACGGCACTAGAGGAATAAATGACACGATATCCAGAGGTATTAAAAAAGCAAATACAGAGAAGAAACAGAAACATGAAAAGCAAAAACGAAAGTCTTCATCTCAACGAAAGAAGAGAACTGACATGACGGAAGAGGACAAAAAGAGGATCAAACAGGGGAAGGAACTGAACAGCCTTTTTGCAGACGTTGATTCCAATTGGAAATTCAACCCTAAGTCATTAGCTGACTTCCGGTGAGTCCTGAAAAGTCTGTAGTTAAAAGTGTGAAACTGATAATAAGCTTAGCAAGTATTTTTCATACACAACGTTTATCATATGAATCATCATTTTGAATGATAAAAAAATTGATAACAGTAGTGACATCATGGATATTACAAAAATTTTAATCATTATGAGTTAAATAGTTGAATCTGTAACCCTACTGTTATTGGTTATCCAAAGGAAGCAGCTGGCAATCTTGCACACTGCGGCGAACTTCACCTTGACGAAACAGAACGCGCCGCTCAATTCATGGATCACGTACGCCACCTTGCGAGGCACACGTGAAGTGACGACAGAACTACACCGCAAATTACCTGAGGTATGCAAGAAGGCGCCCTCCACGTCGTTAAAACTGCAGATATCTTGAAAACTAGGGTGTCGAGACTCGAGAGAATGACTATACAGATAAACACTGTGCAAGTTGTAGTTTTAATCCAGAATTTAAAACATAAGACTTTTCAGATATCGAAGTAAAGCCTTGCCCCCCCTCCCCACCAAACCTTGAGTAGTACCGTAGTGAACATGTCATGTCTGATCTAGTACAAGCAAGCACAAACCTTTGTTACTAAAGGTACAACATGCAAAACGTGCAGTTCATGTGTTTAGTGAACAAATATGAAGACCGTACCTTCCTATTTGTCCTGCCATATCGGTAGAAGCCGCCAGAGTTCCAGACGGGACGGTTCAGGAACTGCAGTGTTGTCGGAAGTAGCGGCATCCTGACCGGAAGTGGGTGTGGAACTCAGATAGACTCCACGGAGTTTGTAATCAGGTAAACATAAATAACGTTAACAAAACAATAAGAGTTAAAATGATTTGATAAATGTGGGACAAAAAAGTGTCTGTAAATTTCTTCTTTTGCCTTGGTGCCTTTTCAACCCATGCTAATTAGATTATAATCTCCAAGCAGATGTTGCGGTGGCGACAAAAGACAGTTTAAAATTGGCCAAGCTGTATCCATTGGGCAGACTGTAACCATTTGCCACCTATAATTTGAGTGGCAAATGGATACAGTCTGGCCAATTGGATACTATCTTTTGCGGCCACCTAAACATCTGCTTGGAGATTGATTTGATTATATGGCTGGCATTTTAAAACTGATGCGAGCGTGCGAAAAAAAAGTGGGCAAAAAAGTTACATTCCTTATGAAATCTAAGTAGTCAGGAGGATTGAATAAATGCATTCTACTAGCCTTATATACACATTTGCATTTCATTTGCCAGCCACCGTATTTGCTAAAAATACTTCTTCAACCTGACATTGTGTTCCTTCGAGTAGAAGTACTTAATAGACTGTAATGCTATTCTTGGCTATCTATCCCAGGTTTAACCTCCCACCCTTGGAGGAGGGCTATATCCCGGATGTAGGGTGTAAGGTTGATCTGGTGACCTGTAACCGTTACCGGCTGAAGATGCAGTAAGTTCGCATGTTTCACACATCGCGTTCATGAATACCGCAGAGAGATATACTTCTGGTGCTAGCTTAACCCCTGTCCTATTGTTTAGCATTGCAGATGATATGCGGGTGCCAACTGTGTTGGCCTCTTCTGTGTAAGGCCATGTTGATTGGATTATATGGATGACATCCACGCGCGCATGAATTTTCGGCCGTTTCTAAAAAAAAAAATTTAACCATACTGTAAATCGTACAAAAAAAGTTCCAGAATGAGCAAAGATGTACCGTAAGTTGCAAAAAATTAAAAACCATACCAATGTCGTAGAATGCCAAAATCAAACGAAAAAAGACGAAAATTTAAAGAAATGAATTTGAATAGTAGATTATTCGCCAAACCATATTCTGCCTCATTTGTTCAACCGTCATGACCACGTAGATTTCATAATTTTTTTGTGCACAACTTTTTTTATTCGCACGCACGCATCAGTTTTGGGGTTCCCAGAGTAGAAAATGTCATCCATACAATCAAATCAACATGGCCTAACGCCAACTCGAAGTTCCGCTGGGTACTCTGAGAGTAAGACCGCCGCAAGAATAGGGGGAATCTTAAGGTATCTACTACCTCAGCACCGGTAATTCCCGACGTTGCACCATCCAGGTGTTCCAGACTTTCTTGAGAATTCGAAGGCCCTGATGTTTCTAATTCTGAAATGTGGGGATCTTTATTAGGGTATATATAGCCGGCAAAATTATGACACGGGACGTATGTGCATGCATAAGCAACGGACAGGCGCAAAAAGTCTACATCAATGTATAGGAATTTACCGCTAAATGAATACATGGTAAAACCTTGATGGTGGGATCTCATTTGCACCGCGCAGGTCGCCCAGGTTGGTAAGGTATTGACTACAAATGAAGATTTAAACCGTCAGCTGAAGGCGTTTGGCACCATGTGTCACATCAAGGCGAACTGTGATCACTCCCAAAGGATGGTCTTAAAATATCACCGTCTGTCATGTTTAACACATGTTGCCAGTCTATTCCTAAGGCAATATTTGTCTCGGAACATCTCCATATTTTGATAGAGACATGTGCATTTAGACATTGCTTTTCCTTACTCAAGGAAACAGTTACTCAGTAACTGGATAGTTTTTCAAAATCTATCCAGTTGCTTGAGTAATTGTTTTCTTGAGTATCTCATTAGTATTGGATGTCTTGAACCTTAATTTGCGTATTGCTTTTCCTTGTTTTTGTGTTGCAGATTCGAATACCTCGTGAGTGAAGCCAACAAGAAAAAGTTCATCGACTTTCTGAGCAGCAACTATCCCAAACTGTCGTACATCTGGCTGTTTCCGTTCTCCTTTCCGGGAAAGACGGTTGATAACGTCACGCACGTTGTTGACGTATTGAGAGAGCACAACTCATCTGTTCAGGCCGTGTTCAGCAACCCGAGACACATGTTCGACAGCAAGGTCTTCTGGGAACACCAGGGGGTGAACGAAAGCACTCTGACGTCAGGTACTCATGAAAATTACATGTTTTTGGGGCGATCCGTACTTTTTAATTTGAGACTCGTGACTTTCACATACTAGTATTTCTATACAGGGTGTATTAACGTTATAATATGAGCCCGCTAACGGTACACTTACAAAAATCATATGAAGATTTAAAACGCTACAAGCGTGCACGAAAATACCGTAACAACCTTTCGGTTACTCCTCTAGATCTGACCCTTCTCGATTTGAAATAACCCGAAGCCTATAGGTCACGCGGAAGTGTGACGTCAGCAACGGGTCAAAGGTGCCTGGCAACCAGTGTCGACCCCCGTCTCGGTTCAGGAATCACGTCTCGGGCTGGAGATTTATCATGATCTTTACCACCTTGTTTTTCTCCTTGAATTTTAAAGGGATGAACCTGATCACTTTGGCCTTGGACGTGTGTGAAGAGCTTCACGTTTACGGCTTCTGGCCCTGGTTGGTCAACAGGAGAGGTCAAGAGGTCAACTATCACTACGGGGATGCCGGGAAATCTGTAGCGGGGCTTCTCCAACCTAACCACAACATGCCTGATGAATTCTCCAGGCTGCTACAGCTCTATAAACATGGCGTCCTGAGACTGGTTACCACTACATGCTGATTTATCTCTTTTAAGGAGTCCAATGCAATCTCAGGGAAAAACGTATTCAGGTTAAGGGAATCTGTCAGATATTGACATTTACTGTATAACATTCAGGATCATACCAATATCAGATTAGTATATGAATTAAAGAATTCATTCATTCATTCATTAAGCCGAAATAAAGAATTTCCGTATGTATTTTTTCATGAGTGAAACACAAGATAATTACATGGCAACAGCCAATGTCGTTGAAAGACCACACGGTGAAATCAAATTATTCAACGTAGGGGATTAGTTTGTCAGTCTATATTGAAATTATGAACTTCACATCTCATTTCCACTGCAAATCAATGCTTTTGTAGTTGTTACAAGAATATGTATGTCTACAGGGCTAAAACATACAGTATTATGTATTAAAAAAATGTTTTATGTGGTACACTTTATCGATTTAGATACACATGTACTGAGGCATTGCCGTTATTTTTTGTGTTTTTTTAAAGCTGAAGTAGCTATAGGCTCTCCCTTTTGCAGTAGATATCAGATAATACCGTAGTTCACTGTATTGTTTTGGATATACATGTACCTGTACTGAAGTATTGCCGAGAAATGGTAAAATGACGTGGCTGACGTTCTGAAGCTACCTGTGCGTGCAGGTAATTTGTCAAACTGCGGAATGCTGACACGACTGTGGGCTGATGCCACAGCAGATATAACCAGTGTGGAAGGATGTAATCCTGTACGGTCAACTATGTCGAATATTTCATGGACTCATGCTTCAAAAACGGATATAAAGTACAAGACTGCGTTATCTACGGTAAAAGGGAGAGCCTATAGCTTGAGGTACAAGTTTTATCGTCTGCAAACATATGTTTATCTTGTACATCTAGCGTCAAAACCAACATGGCGTCCTTCACACGACACTTAGCAAGTCCCATGTGTCCCGTATGTAGTGATCATGACGTATTCGTTTGCGGAGTGAAGATGGCGGTTCCTGGGTTTAGCTTGTGCGGTCTAACATTTCTACGGGATTGTGTGGATTGCGTTAAACGGTTCCACTGCAAGGAACAGTCAATCCGTGGATTCTTGTGAATGTCTTGGAGTTTGTTCAAAATACCATGACAATCAGGCTAACAGTTGTATCAGAAGAAACATGAGCAGTTGACATGATAAGGGTTGAAGTATACTAGCTTCAGATACTACGTTTATAAACGGTACGTTATCTTTTTAAGTACCAGCAAAAATTACCGTTTTCAGGTTAACAGTACTGCGCGATTTCTGTGCTGTATTTTCTGCCATTTTTCACGGTTTTTCAAATGTCAACGACTTTGCTATTTCACCCATTTTCCCCAATATTTTTATTACATTCAACGTCCAGCTTCAGAAAATAATCTCTAAGATGAAGAACCATTTAAGAGACGAACCCTGTGCACCAATCTGTCTCTTTAATCCCGTATTCTTTAGCCGGATTAAGGAATCATGTTTGAGGAATGATAGAGTAAGCTCTTCCTCCGTCCAGAAAGGGCGCTACATAAAGTACATGCATTAGTAACAGAAATGCGTTTCACTGCTCGCTGTTTTCCGGTCCACGCATATGTCTAGATCGGGTGGAAATCCTTTACCTTTCGGCTATTGTCATTCCTCTTGCAGTGCACTCTCTATCTTACGGTTAATACATTCTACTCACTGTGCAGTTATCGCATTCTGTATCTCACATGTTTTGGGGGTATCCTGAAAATACGACATGACTATGACAAGATAAATACGCCGTTTACAACGGTACAATAAATATCTGTCAGCTAGCTTTAAATGACTGCCAGCGAGTTAATCAATCTATTTCACTCGTTCAATATGAATGCTTTTATTTAGATTATTAAGACGGGTTATCACTGAATAAAAGCCGTACGTTAAATTCTTACATATAGTATATAATATCGTGGGCACTCACGGTGTATAAAATTTACGGTGTGTGTCATGTGTTAAGGGTTCATCTTGAAACTAAAAGCCCGTAGTGTCCTCAGGAGATAACACTACACGTCGCGGCATTCACCACGACAAATCCGCGGTAAAAGGGCAAACCTTAAGCGGCACCATAAATTTGAGGATTTCACTTAGGTACGTTACTTGTCTTAAGGGCCTCTTATCAATCAAGGGTGTGTACGTGTCTTAACGGAGATGTGCACCGCAGTCAAAGTATGATGCATTCCAAAATGTATCATTCCAAAACATGATTTGGAATGCAAATGGCACCACATATGCATTCCATAACGAATTCCATTCCAAAACATGATTTGGGAATAACACGAAGTGGAATCTGTATTTCAAAACGCTATTAAAAACATGTTTGGAATAACACATTTTGGAATTCAACAGTAATTCGACCTGTGTTACAGACGAATAGATTTATATATACTAGTACTGCGTAAATTGTCACGATGATTGGAAAATACGTGTATTTATGTATACGGCTATGGGATTGATATTCATTATTGTTATCATATACCATAACTCCTTACCTCACGTGGATTTTGTTTGTTATAAATTTCCGTACTGCTCTAGTGTTGATGTAAACGTATCACATCTAACCAAGCTCGTCGCTAATACATGCAGTTTACATGAAGGGGGACTGTTGTGTAGAATTCAATTCAGAATGCATATAAGATACCCCAACAGATACTCGCAAACGAGTACTTTGAATAGACCACGTTAAATATCGCATGGCATTAAAACTATCTATATACAATAAGGCAACAATTACCTTCCAACGTTTCGGTAGTCCGTCTGTTACCTTGCTTGAGGCAATGATGACTGGAGCTTCTGGCCACAAGACGATGTCACTAGGTCTATTGTTTTACAGACAGGTGTGTGACAGTGCATTCCTTAAGTGTATAGGCTAAATGCCTCATTTGCATACATATAAGAAGTCTTAGTGGGTAATAGGTTAAGGTTCATCATACTAACACAATAACGACGCAATAGACTTCCTACACGTTTGGAACAACTTTATTTCATAAAGCTTTACTTTGTTTTCCAACCTAGTCATCTAACTACGTTTTTCTATATCTTGAGAGATTGTTCTAGATAGAAAGCACCATTTCCACAAATCAGTGAAAATATTCTTATAATATATTATTGCTTACAGCCAGTGATACTTTATATTTTCAATCTTTAAATAGCGAAATTATATGCTTAGCGAGGACGTTTGCTAAAAGTAGAATTGTGCGAGAATATACAAAAGTATCCAATCACAAAGCTCGTTTCTTTAAGTATTTCACGTCCTAAAAGTGATCAACACTTTGTAATCTTGTAATATACAGACATTCAGACAGAAGTAGGCGATCTTGTATGTGTTCTAATTTGAGGACATTATAAAACAGTAAAGGGCACCTAACCATGTACGGCATATACCTCGTCACAATATAGAACGGAACTATATATTACTGGTACACTGTTCTTAAACAGGTCACAGTGGAAAGCATAGCAAATTTGTTAGTATAAAGGGATATCAAGCTCGTGTTTCCCCACTTTTTACCTGAAAAATGTCTTTTAAGAAACACATTCACGAAAAAGCCTGTTAGGCTAACTTCTTGTGTACACAGTGAGTACATTTTTACGTTAAAAGAAACGTGATAGAATTTTTACGTTTATTGTCGTTGCCAAAATTTCTTTTGTTACGATGTAATATACATTGAGATAATTATGAATTCGTGTTTTTGTTATGTATAGATCACAGCATTACAAATGGCTGATCAAAGATGAGGGAGGGGGGTATCACAGGTTAACATGTTACAAATATCGCCAGCAATATATTTGTCTTACCGACTACTTTCAAACTTTTCTTCTTGTTACCATAAAGTTTTTGCTATATAGATATATATTTTGTGGACTTAATAATTTTTTTCATTTTTATCTTTGTATCTTTGTGGACGTAATTTTTTTAGATTTTCATCTTTAGTTTAAGGGATGGGCACTACTGGTTTTGGACTACCACAGCAAGGGAAAGACACGTTCTCTCTATAATTTCACATACTATGTTAGTGACGTTGTTTGCTCAACAACAAGCAAATAGTATCTCAAATCAAGCCAGGACGACATTGTTAGTCAGGCGGCATCTTTTCCCAATAGACTCGTTTCGTGTCCTTCAGTAGCAAGCATTAATGGTTCGTCCCTTCCCAGGAGGCAGTGCGGTCGCGAGGGTCCTCAAAGCAAGCAGTACGCATGCGCGGTTATCGCCATGTTGGAAATTCCGGCTGAAAGTGAGGCTGGTAGAGGTAGTAGTAACAACCTGTTCGGATGTCCTCTTGTCCAATGGCATTCATCGTTAGTGATGCATCTTATGATAATTACTTTTGCAACACATAGCCTTCTTATCCAGAACTCCAAGTTCTAAGAAATAGCGTTTCCTTTCCCCATATAGCGTCGGCAACTTGTGAGCGCAGTTGCGCATACATCCATGCGGTTCACTCATTCGAAGTCCTGAGATGGTTAGCCCTTGTAACGTTCACATCCAATTCCTACCCTCACACTGCCTAAACGATCGTGCTATCGAAAGCGATTATTCCTAATAGTCGTGACTTTTAGCTTGCTCGCACAGGTCTATGCATTTTTCATTGAAACGTCTTTTCCAATGCTGCCTACATGTACGTAGCACACCATCCCTGATGATGCTCGCACTGGCAATAGGGTACCCATTTGATTCTCTGTACAGTCATGGTAAATTCCAGTACGTTCAATCAAAACCAGATTCAACGGCCAATAAGGTCCGCAGATCAAAGCTTGTAGAGATCCAACCGTCAGAGGGATTCTCCTTTGTCCAGCAGCTTGCCTCACGGCAACATGTTCTTGACATCTGACAACGAGATCCAACAAGATCAACAACAACAACAACGACGACGATGACATGTCATTGTCATCGCAGATTACAACGCCGTTACAGCGTTCGTTACAACGCCGAAAATCACGTCACAGAAGACATAGAGTCTACGCCATCTTCGACGTTTACCAGATGTGAATTTGCACGGCAACACGATACATCCGCTTCTATATTACAATCCATAGTCAATGGACTGGAATCCAATGTCTTATCCGTTTGTGTGCATGGCGCGGTGCCTGTGACAAATTTCATAGACAATCTGGTCACGATTTGTTCACGTTTTCCCCATTGCAAAACGACAGGGATGCTAACTTTTTTTTTACACACATTCGTCATCCAAAAGAGTTCAGACGGCAACTGAGAATCACCGCCTTATAGTCACAGTCTCGTTTCGTAATGGCTCGGGTTCAGGAGGCTTGGGTTGAGCTTCTGCATTTTTAAGGTCATGGCCTTTATAGTTTCGTCGTCGTCGAGATCTGTTTCCACGTATTCTACCCGCGAGCGCTCGGCAACCTTTTCCGAACATGTGGGTATAGGTGTTTGTGGTGGAGGTACTGGCGTTGTCGGAGTTTTGGGCTTGGGTGTTTCCTTGGCTGGTAACGTTGCAGAACCGGACATGGTCGCTGAGGTGGGGACCTTTGGGGGTTCTGGGATGACCGGTGTCTTCGGTTTTGGTAAAGTGGTCGGTTTGGGCAGTGTGGCGGAAGTCTCCTGGAGTTTTGTCTCCTCCTCTGCCTGCAAGAAATTGTTATGTAAAAATCACAACTATATATGCTTTGAGCGGACTGTAAAAAATCACCTTTGGCATTCTGATGTCAATGATGCAGATTGACAATTGATTGTTCTTCTCAACAATTTTAACTGTTCGCTGTTCCAAATGAGGCTAACTGTAAACTTGTACTGTATACGTCTTACATATGTCTTCTTTAAAACAATATATTTCATCCATACCATGGTATGGAGTGAAATATAATTACCTGAGCCTTTCTCTTGAGAGTGCCGACAGGTATGGTGCTGTACACGGTGACGTAACGGGACGACTTCATGTCATCGTCTGCAGAACACTGAGCGCCTCCTGTCTGGCCGCCGGAGAGGTGTCCTGGTTTGGAAATAATCATAGGACTGAACTTGTAATAGGAAAATTGATCAGTGATTTCACACATATTAACAAACGCCAACATACACATTGCATATGCATAATACAGAAATTGTTTTGAAAGTATAAGAGTTTTTGGCCTAATTTTTAGAGAAAATTCAACGATTGAACAATACATTGTGGAGACATTCTGATTCATCATGTCAATGTGACTATGATGATGAATATATTTTTCTCTTCACAACCCTGACCTTTCAAAGTTGGTCAAAGTTGGCACTTTTTAGACATAAAAAGGTCACGATTGACAGACACGAATAATGGCTTCCCATAGGCGTGACGCGACATCCCATATTTCAAGATAAGCCCCGCCCACCAACATGATTGATGGGTCATGTCCACCAATCAGCATTCATGATTCGATCTGTTCTGTAATGATTGATAGCTTCCTGCTCCTGGTAATGCTCTGGTTAGGATTCATGGCGACAATGGTACCGACGCTATCTTCTCTCGGATCGATTAGAAGGGAAAGGATCAATAGCAGGGGTTGAGCAAGTTTATCAGTCTATCCGCTGTGGTGCATGAAAGACTGATATTGAAATATCATCAAAGCCAGCGGAAGTTTTCACTTTGGGGACTGTCGTGTCCTTTTCAGGGACATCCGGAATGAGATGGAAAATATCGAGTCATCAGTTTTGTCTGCTTTGACATTGCAGCTTCATCTAAAAACAACATTGTGGGATTCCAAAATTTAAACAATGGAATATTACTTTTTTGGGGGATCCTGAGAAATATCAGGGGATGAATTGTTTTGCCTTTGTTGAAATTGTTGAAAGATGTTGCCATTCTTCATTTGATGTTAGAGGTACGAGGGGTGATCCGAAAGTTCTCGGCCTCACCTAGAAAATAAAGGTCAAACTCCAATTCTTTGGTATAACTGTATACTATGACGTCTTACATCACTGCCCACAAAAATGCAAATTTTTACATTCATTAATTAGCACGTGACGCCCTGTGAAAATGGGATGGGTGAGGGCAAAATCACAAAATGGCCGCACCAGAAGCGTGTGCTGTGATCAAGTGTAGCGATAAAAAGCTATGTCTCCTAGGGAAATCCATAAAGACATGATCAAGTCACTTGGTGATGACTCCCCTTCTTATTTAACCACAAAGAACTGGGTTGCTAGCTCTAAGCGCGTCAAGTAGAGCACAAAAGATGAACATATGTCAGGATGCCACAAATCAGCACCATGGACAATCCAGTTGAGGCCATCCATCACATGGTAGTAAATGACAGATGTGAGACTGTCCAACATGTAGCATGTTCTTTGGCCTGACTTGTAGTACAGTTCACAATGTTTTGTCGTACATCCTGGGGATGTGCAACCTGTCTGCATGATGGGTGCCTAGAATGTTGTCTGAACATCACAAGTTAAGCAGGCTGGGCATTTCAAGGAACGAATTCAGTCCATCAAGGCAACGTACTCAAACAATTTGTCACCCAATATGAGAGATGGGTTCACCACTTTCACTCCGAGTCAAAACAGCAGAGCAAATAGTTGATAAAGAATGGTTCCCAGCATCCCAAGCGAGTTTTACCCGTTGAAAAGGTTTTTGCCTCTGTTTTCTGGGACAGTGAGGGGGTAATCATTATTGACTACCTGCAAAAGGGTCAAACCATCAATGGAGTGTACTGTGCACCAGATTTGCGGTAGTTGAGGGCAACAATACAGAGAAAAGGGGAGAAAAGCTCTGAGTTGACGTGCTGACAATACACCTGTCCACACGGCACAGGGGTCAGTGGCAGCAGCAAACGAATGTGGCTTTGAAGTCTTACCCCACCCTTCCAATTCACCTGACCTAGCACCGTGGGCCTTCTACCTGTTTTCTAAACTGAAGTTCCACTTACGTGGTCAACGTTTTCATGGTGATGATGGCGTCATTGATGTGGTTTAGGCATTTTTAAGGGCTTCAGACGAAATATTCTTCCACAAGGGAAAGGAAAGCTGGAACATCGCTGGACCAAGTGCATTGAAGTTAGACGAGACTATGTTAAAAAATAGTGTAAGAAAATTTTTTCTGCCATCACGTTTTTTGGGAGAGGCCGAGAACTTTTGGATCACCCCTCGTATGATATATCACTGGTTATGTGAAGAAAAAGGTAT